TGTAATGCATCAAATTTCCTCCCCTGTAAATGTATAAAATACAATACAGGTTTCCCCCCCTGTAATGCATCAAATTTCCTCCCCTGTAAATGTATAAAATACAATACAGGTTTCCCCCCCTGTAATGCATAAAATTCCCTCTCCTGTAAATGTATAAAATACAATACAGGTTTCCTCCCCTGTAACACACAAAATTTCCTCCCCTGTAAATGTATAAAACACAATACAGGTTTCCTCCCCTGTAAATGTATAAAATACAATTTTCAGAATCAGGTCATTCCTTTCAGAAAAAAACACTGAGAAGTGATGATTTCTGGCCATCATCCATAGGGATGTGCTAAGACATCTTTGCCTCATGTGTGTCTTTCCTCCTCTGGGAATTTTCAGAGGTTTCAGAGGTGGATTTCTGAGTTCATCTGTTGAATTTTTTCCCCTGTAAATCTCCTAATTACTGAAGCAGTAGTACTAGTACTACTACTGGAAAAAGGGACTTCCCCCAAGATTGAAAGTGCTCTGGGAGACGCTTTGGGCAGCAGAGAGGCTGAAGGGAAGCCCAGAAGCTGCTGGGACTCAGCTCCCAGAGGATGTGCTCCAGCACACTGGCACTGCAGAACCTGGAGGCTTCTGGCTCTGCCAGCTTTGCATCCCCTGGAATGCCAGCGGGACAGGAATGTGAGCCAGGAGAGCCCCTGGGCACGTTTCACCTCTCTCTCTTGCCTCTCCAGAGTCCACCAACGTGGCTTTCAGCATCACCATGCTGCTGGCCAGCCTCAGCAGCTGCTGCAACCCCTGGATCTACCTGTTCTTCAGCGGGCACCTGCTGCAGCACGCCGGGCGCTGCCGGGGCTGCCGGGGCCGCCCCCGGGCCGGGCTGCGCAGAGCCAACTCCACGGGGAGCCTGTGCAGCAGGAGAACCACGGTGCTGAGCCACGGCCCCCAGGCCGGGCTGGCCCTGCACGGGGACAGCGCCCGGGAGCTGCACCCGCCCTGCCACGAGGCCCTGACGGAGTCGGGCACGCTCTAGATGTGGCAGTGGCAGCTGTGACACGGCTGGTGTGACACGGCTGGTGTGACACGGCTGGTGTGACACTGCCAGGTGTGACACAACCGGTATGACACGGCTGGTGTGACTCTGCTGGTGTGACACTGCTGGTGTGACTCTGCCAGGTGTGACACCGCTCACCAGGTGTGACACTGCCAGGTGTGACACTGCCAGGTGTGACACGGCTGGTGTGACACTGCCGGTGTGACACAACCGGTATGACACTGGCAGCTGTGACATGGCCAGGTGTGACACTGCTGGTGTGACACTGCCGGTGTGACACTGCCAGGTGTGACTCTGCCAGGTGTGCCACTGCCAGGTGTGACTCTGCCAGGTGTGACTCTGCCAGGTGTGACACGGCCGGTGTGCCACTGCCAGGTGTGACACCGCTCGCTCCCGCTGCAGAGCGCGCTCTCCCCACCTGGTGGCTCCGCGTTTTGCAGAACCCGCGCTGTTTCACCCAGGAACGCGTCGCGTCCGCCTTGTCCTCGTGCCCTGTGTGCCGGGGATGGACAGAGCCCCTCGGCCGCTGGGCACAGCACCCACCGCACCCGAGCCTAGGGAAACCTCAGGGGTCCTGCATCATCCGGGGAGGGATCCTGCACCCTTCGGGGAGGGATCCTGCATCCTTCAGGATCAGGGGATCCTGCATCCTTCGGGGAGGGATCCTGCATCCTTCGGGATCAGGGGATCCTGCATCCTCCGGGGAGGGATTCTGCATCCTTCGGGATCAGGGGATCCTGCACCCTTTGGGATCAAGGGATCCTGCAACCTCCGGGGAGGGATCCTGCATCCCTCAGAAGCAGGGGATCCTGCATCCTCTGAGAAGGGATCCTGCATCCTTCGGGAACAGGGGATCCTGCACCCTTTGGGATCAGGGGATCCTTCAGTCTCCGGGAAGGGATCCTGCATCCCTCGGGAACAGGTGATCCCGCATCCTCTGAGAAGGGATGCTGTATCCTCCTGGGAGGGATCCTGCACCCTTCAGGATCAGGAGATGCTGCATCCTTTGGGATCAGGGGATCCTGCACTGTCCAGGAAGGGATCCTGCACCCTTCAGGATCAGGAGATGCTGCATCCTTTGGGATCAGGGGATCCTGCACTCTCCAGGAAGGTATCCTGCATCCCTCGGGATCAGGATACCCTGCATCTTTCAGGAAAAGGGGATGCTGCATACACAAAACCCTCCTGTCGGGAGGGGAGTTTTGTGCTCCAGCTGCCAGCAAAGCAGCCCGGGCACGGCAGGAGCCAACGCGGCTCCATCTGCCCCAGAGCCGCCGCCGCTCCCTCCCCTCGCACCCTCGGGGCCGGGCAGACAGCGGGGACAGAGCTGTCCCCACGCGGGGCTGCAGAGCTCCTCTGGCCTGGAATTCCCCCCTGCCACCTCCCCCGGGCCAGGGACGGGGCTGTGCGTCCCCCGGCGCTGGGCACAGCTGTCCTGCGCCCTGCTGTGCCCGCTGGAGCGCCCCAAATGCGGCCCTGGCACCCCCGAGGAGCCGCTGGGAGCAGCCCTGGCCCCGCTCCAGCTCAGCCGGGCACATCCCGCTCCCCCCGTGCCCTCTGTCCATCAGCTCTGCTCCAGCCCCATCCCGTGCTCCACATCTGCTGCATCCCAGGGAGCTGCTCCCTGCAACCTCCGGGGAGGGATCCTGCATCCCTCAGAAGCAGGGGATCCTGCATCCTCTGAGAAGGGATCCTGCATCCTTCGGGAACAGGGGATCCTGCACCCTTTGGGATCAGGGGATCCTTCAGTCTCCGGGAAGGGATCCTGCATCCCTCGGGAACAGGTGATCCCGCATCCTCTGAGAAGGGATGCTGTATCCTCCTGGGAGGGATCCTGCACCCTTCAGGATCAGGAGATGCTGCATCCTTTGGGATCAGGGGATCCTGCACTGTCCAGGAAGGGATCCTGCACCCTTCAGGATCAGGAGATGCTGCATCCTTTGGGATCAGGGGATCCTGCACTCTCCAGGAAGGCATCCTGCATCCCTCGGGATCAGGATACCCTGCATCTTTCAGGAAAAGGGGATGCTGCATACACAAAACCCTCCTGTCGGGAGGGGAGTTTTGTGCTCCAGCTGCCAGCAAAGCAGCCCGGGCACGGCAGGAGCCAACGCGGCTCCATCTGCCCCAGAGCCGCCGCCGCTCCCTCCCCTCGCACCCTCGGGGCCGGGCAGACAGCGGGGACAGAGCTGTCCCCCCGCGGGGCTGCAGAGCTCCTCTGGCCTGGAATTCCCCCCTGCCACCTCCCCCGGGCCAGGGACGGGGCTGTGCGTCCCCCGGCGCTGGGCACAGCTGTCCTGCGCCCTGCTGTGCCCGCTGGAGCGCCCCAAATGCGGCCCTGGCACCCCCGAGGAGCCGCTGGGAGCAGCCCTGGCCCCGCTCCAGCTCAGCCGGGCACATCCCGCTCCCCCCGTGCCCTCTGTCCATCAGCTCTGCTCCAGCCCCATCCCGTGCTCCACATCTGCTGCATCCCAGGGAGCTGCTCCCACCCTCTGCTGCTTGGGGCTGATTTTGCAGGGATCAGGGGCCCAAACCCGCCCGGGGCTCGGGGAGCAGGGACTCGCTTCCCCTGCAGTCCCAGCCTGGCCCTGCCCTGCTCCCGGAGCTGTTTTGTGCAGGAATAAACCATGGCTGAGGCAGGAAAGAGCATCCATTAGCTCAGTGGAGCTCAAAAGCTGCTCAGGGTGATGCACAGGTGGCCCAGCAAAGGTTCCAAATTCCCTACAAGCCATGGGCACTGTTCCTTCCACTATCACAGGCTAAAGCTGTAAAAATAAAACATTCAGAGTAAAATATTTTGAAATCTTCAATATTTTCACTTTTTAATCGCCAGGCATTTGAATCAGATTTCTCAGCAGCTTCCACTCACTGGTTTTGGCCTCACCTCCAGTCCCACAATCACACCTCTCCCGGGTTTTTCAACGTTACCCAGGAATTGTTGGGGTTTTTGGAACATTTTCCTTCACGTGCCCTTGGAGCTGGGCCAGATCTGCACCACAAGGTCATGAAAGCAGGAGTGCCTGGCTCCCCCTGCCACTGATCAATCCCAAATCAATTATCTCACAACCTTTCATTAAATCACAGCATTACTGAGCCCGTTTAAAACGCACTTGGGGCAGCTCCAGCCCTGAGGAAGGGGAGGCAGCAGCTCCACCCCCCTCCCAGAGCTCCCACTGGGGCACTGCTCTCATTCCCAGGCACTTTGGAAGTTTATTTCTGGAAAATTCAGAAGTAACAAAATGCAGAGTGAGGAGCAGGGTGAGGAGAGACCAACCCCAGCACCTGGAGCGGGGACAAAGCAGGGAAAGCAAAAGGTGGGAGACAGGGAGAGGAAAAAGCCAGTGGAAAAATTGTATTTAAAAGGATTTTATGAGGCTGATGAGCAAAACAACAACACTGAGAGGAGCCGCCAAGGTTTGAGGATCACTGCATCTCCCTCCCTGAACTGCCCATTTTGAAAAGTGAGAGGGGAGGTTTGTTTTGCTTTCATGAAACGAGGGGAAAAGGGCCATGACACAGAAGTGAAGAGCTGATTCCAGCCTGGCTGGGAGGAACCTTCCCCTGCCCCACCCCGCAGCCCTCAGGAACAGTGGAGCCTTTAAGGAACAGCCAAGGAAGCTGTGCCTGCGGGTCGGGGTGGTACAAGTGCTGCAGCCCGTGCCAGGCAGTGCCCCAGGGGAAGGGGACAGCGCCAGCTGTGCAGCTGCTGGGGGCTCTGGGCACCTCTGAGCAGCAGCACCCTGGCGTGGCAGCTTCACCCTGGTGTGACAGCTCCACACCAGTGTCACAGCTTCACATCAGTGTCACAGCTCCACATCAGTGTCACAACTTCACCTTGGCGTGGCAGCTTCACCCTGGTGTCACAGCTCCACATCAGTGTCACAGCTCCACATCAGTGTCACAACTTCATCTCAGTGTCACAGCTTCACCCTGGTGTGGCAGCTTCACCTCGGTGTCACAGCTTCACCTCGGTGTACTCCACACCCTTGGATGCCCTGGGGCTGGAGAAGGGCCAGAAGTGTGTTTTCCTCTTCTTTGGGTCCACGTTGACATAATCCATGCCAGCCTTCACGTTCTCGTAGTCCTGGGCAGAGCCTGGCTCGTGGCGTTTCTCTGGGAACACCAGGGATGTGTAATTGATGGTTTCCCCCGAGCCAGGGCCCTGCAGGAGTGAAATGAAGCCCAGGTCATGCCCCAGCACCCACCCAGGAGCCTTTGCCCTCGATCCCATGCACCAATTCAGGGAATCATGGGATGGGTTGGGTTGGAAGGGACTTTATGCCCATCCCACCCCTGCCATGGCAGGGACACCTTCCACTGTCCCAGGCTGCTCCAAGCCCATCCAGCCTGGCCTCGGGCACTGCCAGGGATCCAGGGGCAGCCACAGCTGCTCTGGGCACCCTGTGCCAGGGCCTGCCCACCTCAGAGAGAAGATTTTGTTTCCTAATTTTCCTCAAGTGCCCAGGAATGCTTCCCTCTGAATGGGGGACACTGGAATGCTGAGTGTGCCAGGGGACAACAACCACCCCAGCCCTTGTCTATGGAATTTCAATGTGGTTTGATGGTTTTGCCCCTCCTGATGCTGCTCCAGAGCTGGACACAGCACCAGCTGGGCTGGGGATGATTTGCCATGGTACCTGAGGGCAGGAAGGGTTGTCTGAGTCCTCCGAGGTGTCTGAAGATGTGTCACTGCTCCCTTAAAAACACAAAACATTTACCACGCCAGCACTTCCCAGAGGGTTACAGGGAAAAAAGGATCAAGGGAGAAAAAGCAAACATGCTCAGAAGTGAAATTCTGATCCACAAAGCATCAGTTTGATCCCTCCCAGCCTCACTTCCCTGGGAGAAACTGGCAGGGAGAGCCCAGCTGGGTGGGAACAACGGGAACAGGAGGCAGCTTCTGCTTGGCCCTTCTCCCACCCCGCGGGTGTCCAGAGCTCATAAGGAAGAGACATCACACAAATGCCACCCAAAAATTCCCATCCCTGTGCCAGGACAATGCCCCATTGCTGCAGAGCCCCTTACCTTCATAGGCTGCTGATGGTGATGGGTTTTGTGCCCCAGGCTGTTTTTGTGCCCCGGATTGTTTTTGTGCCGTGTCCCCTCCTGGTGCTGAGGCTGGAGCTGGGGTGGGGTGAGGGCTGGGATGCTCTCCAGGGCTGCTGCTCCCCTGCATCCTGCAGGAATGCTGGGCTGTGACCAAGAGGAGAGTGAGCCCAGGTCCCTGCTGTGCCCAGAGCACCCGCCCTGCTCCAGCAGCCCCAGTGCAAACCAGCCCACCCCAAAGGAATGATGGCTGTGCACTGGAGCGGGCTCATTTCCATCAATTCAATCACTGAGATGATCCAGGGCCCTGTTCTCCCCCCAGGAGAGACTCCAGTGACAAATCACAGTGTCAGGGCCTCTTCTTGCAAGTTTGGAATGATTTGAACCCAAAGCAGAGCTGGGCTCTGTGCAAATGTGAGCAGCAGTTGGTGTGAAAGAATTCCCTGCTAGAAATTGCAGCTTCATCTGAATTAATATTCTGTGAGCTGATTCTTGGTATTTTCCCAGCACTTTGGTAAAAGAGCAATAAAAGAAAATGGTTTTGAAGCAACGCAAGGTTGTACCACGCTCACTGATGTGTACAACCATGTCACCCATGCCAGCACAGCTCACAGCCAGCCCAGCCCAGCCCTGCCCTGCCCCTTTCCCACCCCGCACCCACCCCAAGCCAGGAAATCACCAGGGAAAGCCATTTTTAATTACCAATTTTCCTGCTGAGCATGGTGTAAAGGGCCAGCAGGAGGAGAGGGTAGAGTATCAAGGTGACAAGTGAGGTGACAGCAGGAATCCAGCTGAAGGAGAGAAAACCATTCAGTCTCACTGAAATCACCAAATTCTTTTCAATCCCCCCATGGCTTCAAGGCTCATTTTAGACTCAGGTTTGCTGGTAGCTTTCGGTTTTGCTCTTTGGTTTTGGGGTGATGTGGCTCAAAATGTGGGGCTTGGTTTTCAAGAATGATTTGAGTTCCTTGCCCCTCGTTTTTGGGGCCTGTCCCCAGAAGGGTTTTCAAAAGCCTTCAGGGGGGGAATGTGGTGCTGGAGGGGAGAGAGACATGAGAGATATGATGGAATTATAGAGCTGTGGAATGATGGAATGGGTTGGGACCTTTGAAGGTCACCCCCTGCCACGAGCAGGGACACTTTCAGCCAGGGCAGGCTGCTCAGAGCCCCGTCCAGCCTGGCGTGGTCCCAGGGCTGCTGTGAAGGGCTCTGTGCCCCAGGGTGCTGCACTCACCACGCACAAAGGCTCATCCTCCTGCCGAGGCGTCTGCAGGGCCTGGGGGGACACAGACAGGCAGCAGGACCTGCTGGCAACCAAAGAAATGGTCCCACTGAGCCTCACGCTGCTCCACACGAGCTGGAGATCAGGCTCAGCACTTGGAAGCAGCGGTTGGATGTGGCAGATGTGAAATAAGGGGTTTTTATTTTATCCCAGCCCTCCCCCTGGGAGAATCCCTCTGGTTCACACCCTCATGGAGCCACGGGCTGTCCCTTATCACTGAATTAATGGCTTTATACACGCTCATATCTGAGACTTGTCTGGACTTTCTGGGCTCCACCACAACAAAATCGAAATTTGTTCTTGCTTTAATCCTCTCTCATGGTTCGTTTTGTTTTATTTTCTTTTTCTCTTTTTAATCCACCAAAAAGAAAAAAAAAAGAAAGAAAACTACAAGATGAAGAAAAAAACCAAAGGAAGGTCGTGGGTTGGTGTGAGACTCTTGTATCAGTGAAGGTCCAGACAGAAATATCAGAGGCCCTCCAACACCTCAGTGTCTGAAACACCTTGGATTTAATACTGGGAGAGCTTCAATCCCGCTAAGGTTAAGAGGGGTTAAATCAGAAAACACCAATGCCTGGGCTGGGCCCCTTGGCCTGGGACTTCTGGCCATAACACTCAAGAGATTTATAATAAAAGATAGGGGTGTTCATTTTGTAAAAATAGCAGTGGCCTGTTCCTTTTGTGAGCTTTCACTTGCAAAAAAGCACTTTAAATCCTCCCTCAGTGTTATACACTCGCTATTTATAAATGGTGATAGGGAGAGATCTTCAGCTGAGGCTTTGATACAGTGATTAAAGCAGCCATGATAATTTGATTGATAGGCTGATGGATAAATTGATAGTGCAAAGGCATTATCCATCCTGTGGAGCAGATTCTATCATTTCCTCTATGACACATTTCTGAGCCTCATTCATCAAAAGCTTGTCTGATAACCACCAATCTCCTGCAAAATTCCACTCAGGCAAACAGTTTGATGACTGCCAAGCTGCAAGTTCATTTTTTGCAGAAATGTTCCCCCTCCCTTACTGAATAAATCTGTCCCCAAATATCCTTCTCAAAGGGCTGCCACTCTTGAAAGGCTCATTTCCTACTGTGGGGCAGGAGACGCTGCTGCAGCAGCAGATAAGGATCTGAAAAATGAGCTGTTCAAAAGGAAATTGCAAAATAAGCCCCAAATCCAACTATCAGCAGCTTCTGTGCCGAGGTGGGTACGGTGAGATGGAGGCAAAGATATCGGGTGGGTACCGAAAAATCCGATTTGAGACAGCAGCCAATGAGTGCTGTGCCCCAAAAATGTGCTTTTTTGGGGGCCTCAGTGAACTTCTGTGAGCCTGCAGCCTCCAGGGCTTCAACCCTTTCTCAAGAAAATAATGAAATCAAGGCTGGCAGGGAGCTGCTCCTCACCCGGGCAGCGAGGGTCAACCTGAGGCATCTGCGCTGGGCTAAACATGAGAGAAAGCTCCAGAACGCCCCAAATTATTTTAATCCCACTTGAGGCAGGCCCAGCTGGCTCGCTGGAGCTCAGGATGGCACCAACACGTGCCCAGGGGGATTCCCAGCCCAGCTCTGCTCCCGCTGTGTCACCCTCTGCTTGGCGCGCCATCGCGCCCGGAGCGCGGTGCCCAGCGCGGGCTTACCTGGGCTCAGAGCTTTCCAACCTTCCCTTCCCCACGGCTCAGGGCAGCTGGGGCCCTGCAGGCAGCAGGCTTTGGGGTGTTTTCTGCAGGATTTGGGGCCGTTCCAGCAGGATTTGGGCGCAGAGCGGGGTCTGGCAGCGCGGCCGTGCCGGATGCGGTCACGCTCTACCCCCCAGGTCGGAGGCACCAAGGAGCCCACATGAGTTCCATGACACCTCCCCTCTGTCAGCAGCCTCATTTAAATATATTGGGGTGTTTCTCTGCTGTTCTGCAGCTGTTTTGCTGCACCCCTCCATCAATTGTCTGTCCTCCAGCAGCTTTGTCCCAAAATTCAGCAGAGCTTCTTTGGAGCCAAGCGGTGCTGGGGGAGCTCAACTCAGCTGCCACCCAAAACGAGCTCTGGGTGCTTCCAAGCAAACACTTTCCACAGGGATGAAGCATTTTACACCACCTGGCTGCATGGCTGCTGCGGGTGGCTGGGCCTCCACCTGCCCACACTCTGGAAAATGCTCTGCAAGTTTTGGGGTGCAAGCAGCAGCCTGGCAGATCCCGTCCTGAGAGCTCCCAGGAGGTTTGGGGAGTGCTGGCTCCTGGTTGATAGGAACTGTGGGGTTTGTAGCTCTGGAGGTGCCCTGGCAGAAAGGAACAAGAAATTCCCTTTTTTTTCAAGGTGCCTGACTCATGGGGTCGGTGCCTGCTCGCCTTTCAACATCTCCACCAGCCCACAGCAATCCCGTCCCAGGGATACAACATCCAAAGAATCCTCCTGGATTTCCTAAAAGCAAAAAGAAGATTTCAAAAAGCATCACCTACCCCTGGAGCTGCATCACAAGTTGGGGTCAATTCCCAAATTCCCCTTCATCCCTGGGGCTGCTCCCACCAGCTCCATCATCAGATGTTGGTCCTGCTCTCCTCACAGCTGCTGCACCCCAGGTAAATATTTTGGGGTTTATTTAACTGAAACTTGCTCGTTTGTTGATTCTTTTTTTCAGGTGAGAATTTGCTGCTGCAGCTCTTTCAAGTGCTTGGTGGTGGATAAACAGATTAACAGGTGGGAGAAGTGTTTGATAAAGGCAGGAAAAAAGAGTTTTTTTACAAAACACTGCTGGGGCACAGTGTGAATCAGCCAGGGCAGCGGCTCCACTAAAGGAAATGTGTAAGAAGGAACACAGATAACACATTTTTAGCCTAAGAACAGGTTTTTTTAAGCGAGGGAAGTGCTTCTCACAGAGTTGGTGACAGGTATTTTTTCTAGCCAAGGGGCAAAACCCATTTCTGATCCAACTGTGTGGCCCTGGAGGGCAGGGACACAGCTGGGGATGTTCCTTTCTTACCAGGCTGGGATGTTGCAGGAGCTGGGGTCACCTTTCCTCAATTTCTCCAGAGCAGCACAGGCTGGCCCTGCCAAGGCTTGGAAATTGGGCATCTCCTCCCTCTGCATTCCACACATTGAGGCACAGCTGGAATATGTACAAAACAGAGCCTTTTTGACCCAATTTTCTGTGCAAATCCAGCCCAGTTGCTCCCAAAACATAGAGAAAAAAAAAAACCCTACCACTTTGTTCTACTTGAAATAACAAATTTGAAGTGCTCCTAAGAGTTGAGCTTTTAAAATTGCTTCTAAAATAACTCAAAAGTCGAAATAGATTTGCTTAGCTGCAAAAATTTCTAAATGAAAGGTCTGGCCTCGTTCTGACTTTCATCTTCATATTTTAATGCTGAATCCGCTGCCAGTTTGCAGATTATGATGATCCAATTGGGGGATCTTTTCCACAAAATAAACTATTTCACTTAAAGTGTTTGGCGTGTCTGTGCTGCTGCTCACCCTCACGTTTATCTCCAAAGCCCAGTGACCCTTCAGGCTGGGTTTTCTGATAGGATTTTCGGGTTATAAACCATGTCTGGAACAATCCACTTGCTGTTTTCAGCTTATCTGGCACTTGCTGCAGCTGCTTTTGTTTTAGGAAGTTTTCTTTCTAATCCATGAATATGTGATTAGGACAAGGAGGGAGGCTGGTACATTAAACTGCATCTCAAAAGGGGAAATAGAGAATAAATTTGTATAAAAGCCACTCGTTAAAAAAAATACTGCAGCATGGGGGAATGCAGGGAATTTTCATTTGTTTTGAAAAAACAGCTGCATTTGCCATCGGCATCAACTGTGCTGTGCCCAACGTTTTCCTGTTCCATCAAAATTATTTGATGGATTTTTTAAAGCTTGATCTGCCCGCAAAGCTGGGGAGAGAAGGGGCCTGGCAGCATCTCCAGGGATGGGGACACAAGATCCCGGTGACAGCAGGACGTGACTCAGCTGTCCCCAGCCACCCTCGGTACCTGTGCCTCACAGATGAGGACTTTAATTTCCTGGGCGAGGGCTTTAATGAGATAAAATTTAATTAGATAAAAACAGGCTCGCTGGGACAAACAAAAAATTGATTAGCATGGTGCTAAAGCCTGTTCATCACGTGAATGGGGCTCGCTGAGCAGAACACCCCCTTTAGCACCCAAATCCATGCCAAAACCACAGAAAATAAGGACAGCATGGAAAATAAGGGCCTGGGAGATGATGGCAGCAGGAAAAGCCTCGCCTGCCCCCCCTCACTCCCCCCGTGTCTTTATTTGTTCATCAGCATTTTCTGTTTGCACTCGCTGAGGCTTTAATGAGATCCGTCCTGGGTACAACAAAACTCCAGGGGAGGAGGAGGCCATTGGTGCCTGCACAGCACCAGGGAGCTGTCTCCCTCGGAAAGCTGCTCCTTCCCAGCCTTTGGAAGGGAAAGTTGAGGATTCCCGAGCTGTTCATCACCGCTAATTAGTCTTTGCCTTTTCAAATGAGGATGGTGCAAACACATCCCTTTCCTGCGCCTCCCTGCAGCTGCTGGGCTTTGGGCACCCCACGGCCACGGCAGCTCCCTGGGGTGGGGCTGTGGGGGGAAGGAGAAGGGAAATGTTCCTCCAAAGCATTTTGGGGGGTTTCCACCCGTGGATAAGGAGCTGGTGCTGGGATGGGAACCGGTGCTGGGATGGAGACCCCGTTCTGCTCCCTCTGTGGGACCTGCACTGCCCCAAAATCAGCCCAAGCTCCCACAGGCCCCCCAGCGCCGTCCTCACCCAGAAAAGCAAACGTGACCCCGGAGCGCCCGCTCAGCCTCGCCTGGGCCGTGGCCTGTGATTCATTGCGGGTGCCCGAGCCCGGTGTTGACTCTGGCAGGGCTGTTATCGAGCTTGGCACCGCGGGTATAAGAGCGGCACGGCGGCGGGCACGGCACCACGGCGGGCACTGCCACCATCCACGCCATGAGGCGCCTGCTGCTCCTCGCCGCGCTCTGCCTGGCCCTGGCCAGTGCCCTGAGGAGGTAAGGGGGTGCCAGGGGTCCCCGGGGTCCCCAGGGTCTGGGGGTTCACTGCCAGGGCTGTGACGGGTGGCAGAGCTCAGCCTGGGCACGCCGTGGCTGTGCCGGAGCGGTGGCACCACGCTGGGATTCCTGGGTGCTCCGTCCCTCTGGGCAGAGCCTGGCAGCAGCAGGAGGGGCTGCAAAGGGGTTTGTGCCAGCAGGGAGGGCAGAAAGAACCAGCCTGGATTCCCCTTGGCCCTGCTGGCCCTGCCCAGCCTTTCCCTCGGTGGCACCGGGACAGTGACAGCCTGTGCTGCCACTGCCAGGGCCTGGGCGCTCTCCTGCCAGCTCTGCCTGGATTTCCTGTGCCCTAAAACACATTCAGTGCCCCTCTTCTGCTGTGCCTCGGCTGGAAATTGTTGCAGGGTGGGGGATGTGGGCTCTGAACCCCCATCCTGGCAGTGCCTCCGGGGGGGTACAGGACATGGGCAGCATCCAGGGGAGTGCCCAGGACCCTCAGGGTGGGCACAGGATATGGGGCAGTACCTCCATGAGTGCCCAGGACCTTCAGGGTGGGAACAGCACCCACGGCAGTGCCCAGGGCCCTCAGGGTGGGCACAGGACATGGGCAGCACCCACGAGAGTGACCAGGACCCTGAGGGTGGGGAAAGGATATGGGGCAGCACCTACAGGAGTGACCAGGGCCCTCAGGGTGGGCACAGGATGTGGGCAGCACCTCCATGAGTGCCCAGGACCCACAGGGTGGGCACAACACCCACAAAAGTGCCCAGGGCCCTCAGGGTGGGCACAGCACCCAGGGCCTTACCTGCAGGGTGGGCACAGCACCCTCAGGGGGGGCACAGCACCAGGGCAGTGACCTGCCCTTACCTGCAGGGTGGGCACAGCACCCTCAGGATGGGAACAGCACCCTCATGGTGGGCACAGCACCCAGGCCAGTGCCCAGCACCCTCAGGGTGGGCACAGCACCCTCAGGGTGGGAACAGCACCCTCATGGTGGGCGCAGCACCCAGGGCAGTGCCCAGCACCCTCAGGGTGAGCACAGCACCCGGGCATGACCGGCCCTTCCCCGCAGGGTGGGCACAGCACCCGGGCAGTGACCTGACCTTCCCTGCAGGGTGGGCACAGCACCCTCAGGGTGGGTACAGCATCAGGGCAGTGCCCAGCACCCTCAGGGCAGTGCACAGCCCCCTCAGCGTGGGCACAGCACCCGGGCATGACCGGCCCTTCCCCGCAGGGTGCCCCTGGGCCGGCGCCGCTCGCTGCGGAAGCTGCTGCGGGAGCGGGGGCAGCTCTCGCACCTCTGGAGGGCCCGGGACGGGCCGGACGCGAGCAGCGAGGACTGCGCCGCCTTCTCGGAGACCAGCGAGCCCCTCATCAACTACCTGGACGTGAGCAGGAGGCGCAGCGGGCTGGCAGCACCCTCAGCTCGCCCGAGCAGAGCCCCAGGCCCAGGCGCTGCCCAAACCCCGCGGCTCCAGGCAGTGCCCGGCGTGCCAGGGCTCGCTGCGTGCCCGGCCCTTTGTCCCCGGGGATGTGAGGAGGAGGACAAGGGAGGGCATTCATGGCAGGCACTGCCAGCCCCTTCCCTCCCTGCCGCCCTTTGCCCGCCTCCCAGGGCACAGATTTACTCCAAAATTCAAGTTATTCAAGGCAGAGCCCCCGCAGAGGTGGAGGGAGTTCCCCAGGACAATCCCATTCCCCAATTCCCCTGTCCCCAAAGCCCTGCCTGGTGACGAGGGTCCCCTCAGGGCCCAGCCTTGCCTGGAAGAGGCAGAGGCCTGTACCCAACGTGCTGCCTTTTGTCCTCAGTCCCCATTGTTGTTCCTTAAATATTTGTCTCCTTTATTCCACCTGGCACGGCACAGATCAAACACTGAGCCCCATCCATGCCCTGCAGACACCCCCGGCTCGGTTTTGCTGGCATTTCTGGCTGTGCTGGTGGCTCACGGTGCTCTCTGCCCCCCTCTTTGGCAGATGGAGTATTTTGGGCAGATCTCCATTGGGACACCACCCCAGAATTTCACTGTGGTGTTTGACACGGGCTCCTCCAACCTCTGGGTGCCTTCTGTCTACTGTGTCAGCAAAGCCTGTGGTGAGTGGGAGCCCCTGACCCCAGAGAGGCCACGAGCCACCAGCCCCAAGGCCATGGGGGCCCTCTAACAGAGGTGACAGAAATCCAGGGGGGAAAACAGGGGGTGACAGCTCAGCAGGGGACAAGCGTGGCTTTTTGGGGCTGTCAGTGATCAGCCAGCCCCAGAGAGCCCAGAGGGACCCGAGCATCCCTGAGCAGCCACAGGGCTGCCCCTGAGCCCAGCGGGAATTGGGGAATGGGACTGGATCCTACAGGGAATTGGGAAATGGGACTGGATCCTGCAGGGAATTGGGGAATGGGCTGGATCCCACAGGGAGTTGGGGAATGGGCTGGATCCTGCAGGGAATTGGGGAATAGGACTGGATCCTGCAGGGGGTTGGGGAATGGGACTGGATCCTGCAGGGAATTGGGGAATAGGACTGGATCCTGCAGGGAGTTGGGGAATGGGACTGGATCCCACAGGGAGTTGGGGAATGGGCTGGATCCTGCAGGGAATTGGGGAATAGGACTGGATCCTGCAGGGGGTTGGGGAATGGGACTGGATCCTGCAGGGAATTGGGGAATGGGCTGGATCCCACAGGGAGTTGGGGAATGGGCTGGATCCTGCAGGGAATTGGGGAATAGGACTGGATCCTGCAGGGAGTTGGGGAATGGGACTGGATCCCACAGGGAGTTGGGGAATGGGCTGGATCCTGCAGGGAATTGGGGAATAGGACTGGATCCTGCAGGGAGTTGGGGAATGGGACTGGATCCCACAGGGAGTTGGGGAATGGGACTGGATCCCACAGGGAGTTGGGGAATGGGCTGGATCCCACAGGGAGTTGGGGAATGGGCTGGATCCCACAGAGAGCTGGGGAATGAGACTGGATCCCACAGGGAGTTGGGGAATGGGCTGGATCCCACAGGGAACTGGGGGATGGGACTGGATCCTGCAGTGCCATGGGGCTGCTGCTGGCTGTAACCAGGGACAGCAGTGCTCATCTCAGGGCTCATTAAATGCTGCTGATCCTGCTCCCCCTAACAGCCCTTGCACCCTTCATCAGACTGAAATGGGAGAGGTTTTCTCCCCCCTCAAAACTCCAGCACGTCCCTCAGCAGAGCCCCCATAACCAGGAGTTTTGGTGACACTATGCTGCGCCATCATTTTGCCTCACTGGGGGCTCCTGGCACTTGTGGCAATGCAAAAAAAAAGTCATTTCTGGTGACAGATTCCATTTCCTTCCCCAGTTGGGCACACCAGGTTCCAGCCAACCCAGTCCAGCACCTACCAGGTGATAGGGACCCCCTTCTCCATCCAGTACGGCACCGGGAGCCTGACGGGGATCATCGGGTCCGACCAAGTAGCCGTGAGTGACCTTTGGGGTCACCAGCATTGTCCTGCTCTGGACAATGTGCCTGGCACTTCCCACGGGCTCGGCCCCCCACGGAACCCCCTCCTCCCTGCAGGTCGAGGGTCTGGCCGTGAGCAACCAGCAGTTTGCAGAGAGCATCAGTGAGCCGGGAAAAGCCTTCCTGGATGCTGAGTTCGATGGGATCCTGGGGCTGGCTTACCCCTCCCTGGCCGTGGATGGGGTCACCCCTGTCTTCGACAACATGATGGCCCAAAATTTGGTGGAGCTGCCCATTTTCTCCGTCTACATGAGCTCGTATGGACATGGCTTTGCTCTGGGATGTTGCTTGGAGTCTGGCATTGCTTTAGGGAGCAGGAGGGGCTGCTGAAATACAGATATTTTCCTCAGATCATGAAGGGGGGTTTGGTACCAGATTGAGCATCACAGACCTCTGGCCTTGCAGCATTTGTGGGGAAAAAGTTGGGATGAATTCATGCTAAATGGACAAAAATCCCTCATGTCTCCTCCTCCTCCCAAAATTTGGTGGAGCTGCCCATTTTCTCCGTCTACATGAGCTCGTATGGACATGGCTTTGCTCTGGGATGTTGCTTGGAGTCTGGCATTGCTTTAGGGAGCAGGAGGGGCTGCTGAAATACAGATATTTTACTGAGATAATGAAGGGGGGTTTGCTACCAGACTGAGCATTGCAGACCTCTGGCCTTGCAGCACTTGTGGGGAGAACATTGGGGTGAATTCATGCTAAATGGACAAAAATCCCTCATGTGTCCTCTTCCTCCTCCTCCCTGCAGGAACCCTGACTCCCCCCAGGGAGGAGAGGTGCTTTTTGGGGGCTATGACACCTCCCGCTTCACGGGCACCCTGAACTGGGTGCCAGTCACCCAGCAGGGCTACTGGCAGATCCAGCTGGACAAGTGAGTGGTGCTGGGCAGGGAGGGAGGGCAGGGCAGGGCTGGGCTGGCAGAGCATGACAAATCCCTCCTGCTCCTTCTCCCCTCTTCCAGCATCCAGCTGGGGGGGACAGTGACCTTCTGTGCCAACGGCTGCCAGGCCATCGTGGACACCGGGACGTCGCTCATCACGGGCCCCACCAAGGAGATCAAAAAACTGCAAAACCTCATTGGGGCTGTGTCTGTGGATGGAGAGGTGAGAGCCAGGGTGGGGACAAGAGGGGACAAAGCCTTGGGGACCCTTCCCTGCTGGAAGGGACCCTCCTGGGCAGCCCCTGAGCCCCCACTTCTGTTCCAGTACGCCGTGGAGTGCAGCAACCTCAACGTGATGCCTGACCTGACCTTCACCATCAACGGGCTGCCCTACACGCTCAGCGCCCAGGCTTACACCCTCGTGGTATGCCTGTGCCTCCCCCAACCCCAAATCCCAGCTGCTCCAGTGGCAAAGGTGGCCCAGCCCCATGCCAGGAGCTGGCAGTGTGTCCCCAAGGGTGACAAACCCTGCCGGTTTCTGCTTTGCCACCGTTCCTGGGTGTTTCCATGTGCACGAGGCTCTCGCCTTCATCCCCAGCTTTGCACTTCTCCTCCCCCAGGAGTACGCTGATGGCATGGCCTTCTGCACCAGTGGCTTCCAGGGCAGCGACATCCCCCCTCCCACAGGACCCCTCTGGATTCTGGGAGATGTTTTCATCCGTCAGTTCTACTCCGTTTTTGACCGTGGGAATAACATGGTGGGGTTGGCCCCTGCTGTCCCTTAGGGCTGTGACATCCGTGGGGCAGGAGAGGAACGGACCTTGGCAGGGCAGTGGATGTCACCATGTCCTCCTCAGTGTCCCCAGGGGGATGAAGACACCCAGGGATGCAGTGAAGAGTCCAGCAGAGGTTCAGTCCACACCAGGACACTGTGATATAAAAATGTCTCGAGCAGCTCTGTGATCTGCTCTGCACATTCTCTCTTTTTGAATCCTGAGCCAATAAAAATGTCAATAAACCCAAACTTCTCATGCTTCTGTCAGCAGCAGCCCAGCAGAAATCCTGCACGTCTCAAAGGGGGTTAAATCCTCCTTGCCCATGTCCTGCTCTCCTCCCTGGGTGATCCATGGCACTGCCAGGGCTGCACTCCCAGCCTGGCTGGAGCTTCCCTGGGATTTCCACAGGGGCAGAAAGAAGGGGATGCTTGGCCCAGGTAGAGCAGAAACCCCTGGAGGTGACTGTGGCCATCCCTGAGCATCCCAGGGGCAGGACAGGGGCTGAAGAGAGCACTGGGAATGCACCTTTCCTCAGCTGGGGCTGGTAAACAAGAAGGTAACAAGGAGACTGGAAAGACCCTGGGGCTCTTTCTGTGCCACAAAACTCCAGGAGCCACCGGTGATTTCCAGTGAAATTCGCTTTGATTCCCGTGGGGAACTCACAACACAATGTCCTTGGTGGGTCCTTGAAGCAAAAAGGGCAAAGCAGCTGCTGAGCCCTGGGCTGGGCTGGCTCAAAGTTTGGGGGGCTGTGGGGGGCTGCTGGCCATGGGGGTCCCCAGGAGTCACCGTGGCACACGTGACTTGCTGACGGGAGTGTGACAACGCACGAGTGGCAGTGGCTCACGAGTGATGCACCCTGAGGCAGCGAGAAGGGGAAGCACAGAAAAGGTTATTTTTATCCAGGCCTTTGCTCTGTGTTCCCCACTGACCCTGAAGCGAGGCTGGCAGTGCCAAGGCTGAGCTGCTGGAGTGCCCATGTCCCTGCCCAGCCTGGTGGCTGCTCCATCCCTCCCAGAGCAGAGCAGTCTTCAGGGCTGGGTCTGGGAGCTCTGGAATATTCAGATCTGGCCGTAAACTTTGTGGCTGAGCCTTGTGGTTTGCAATAAAGGGAGATATCTGCCTTACCCAGAGGCACTGATTGTGCTGCTGACCAGCGTGGGCTCTGTGGCGTTTCCTGTGTTGACTTCACCCCTGCTGCAGTCCCAGATAAGGTGCTGGGGCTGCTGGACAAAGGTCTCCTGTCCCTCTTCCACCTTAACCCTTAGCACGCCAAAGTTCTGCTGGGCACAAGCCCAGGGGCTGGGGGGGAGCACAACAGGGGCCACCCAGTGTCCCCAAACAGCGGCTGGCAGTGAGAGCTGGCCTGGCCTGGAGTTGCCCAGGACTGCTCTGGTGCTGTGTTTTTGGGATTTTAGGGCATTCCATGCCCTCTTGACAGGTTTAAGGCAGAAGTTGCTCGAACAAATATGAGCATCCCAATAAAGAGTGACCCTGCTGTCCCCAAGGAGGCAGAACAGCACAGGGAACACTTGGGTGCCCTTTGCTTCCCTCCCTTTCCCTCACTCCCACGGCCCTGCAGGGCACAGCCCGTCCTCTCCTTGTCCCCATAAGCCTTTCCCCCAGCTGTGTCAGCCCCAGACCGGGTTTCATCACCTTCCTCCCAGTCACAGGCCACAAAACCCACGCCTTTTCCTCAGAACTGCTGATGTGGGGGAGCAGTCAGGACAGGAATGAAGCTGTGGTCACTGGAGCTGCTGAGCGACGCCTTGGCCATCACCTCTCCCCACCACTGCTCCCACTGCCCTCATCCAGGCAGAACCTCAGCCCAGGGGGGATTAGGAGAGCAGGAGCTTTGGGAAAATCCCTTTTCCTGTGAAATCAAACAAAAGCCAGAGATAAGGCTGATGTACCCTGGTGGGTACAGCCACCCTGGCTAAAAGCAGAAGTGGCCATGGGCATCAGTTGCAGTTTGGGATTGACCACAAACCCCAGCCCCAGCAGCATGGAGAGGCTTCGATCATCTGGTAGGGTGAGCAATCCCCCATCCCACCAGGGACACGCGAGAGGAACGAGGGCAGAAGTCGTTGCGGGGGGAGGTTGAACAAGAAATTCCCTGTGCAGGAGCAAAGGTGAAGCAGGATGATGAAAAGGGGCTAAAAACGGGGATTAGGAGAGAGCTGCTCCAGGGAAATGTCAGCCTTTTACCCACCACTGGTGAGAACTGGCTCAGGTTCTCCTGCCTCAGCCCAGCTCCTCCCAGCGCCTGCCCTCTGGGGGGGAAAACAGATTTTTCTGGCCAGACAGGTCCCAGAATTACACCTGGAGAAGAGGGGGAGGAAGATTTGTCCTGCTGGGCGCAGTGATCCTCTCTGAGATCCCATCAGGGTCTGCAAGGGGAAAAAAAAAATCTACAAAAATGCTGGAAGTGGAAAAGCAAAAGCCTTGGAGGGATCCCAAAACCTGAGCATGGGGACCACCATCAACTGGGGAGCTGCTGGTTCAGGATGAGGGAGGGTTCACAGATGGGGGACACCCCGCTCCCCCTGCAAAGCCCAAATCCTACAGAACGCTTGGCAAAGGCACGGGACCTGCCCTTGCACGTTGGGAAGCAGAACTCTGCCTTCACGGCCGTGGCCAAGCAGGTTCTCCCACTCCAAAGAGCCCTGGGCACCCGCCTGGTGCTGGGATTGCTCCACGGGGGCAGCTGCGATCCCCAAAATCCCATTTACTGATGGAACACATGCTCCTGCGGATGTCACCAGCTCTGTGCCCTCTTTTTGGGGTGTTTCTGGGGTGCCTGTGCTGCTTGTGGGGGCTGGGTGGGACCCCTGCGGGCTGGGGGCTGCGGGGATGTGACATGAGGGGCTGGAGATGCTCGTGATCTCCTCTCCACCCTGGAAGAGGAGACGAAGCCACACAGAGCTTCTCAGAGGGATCCCAGCCCCTCCTCCCCCCTGTCCCGCTCCCAAATCCGCTTATCCCATCCCACGGTAGCGGAGCAAAGTCCGGCATGGCTCCAGGGATGCTGCCACAGCCCCGCCCGCCTTTTGTCCTCATCCCTCAACAATTCCCCAGCGGGGACGCAGATAAAGGGTCCCGGGGCGGTGGCAGAAAGGATCCGAGGGGATTCTGAGCCAGGGGTGAGGCCAAAAGTCAATCCCAAACTCCAGCAGCGGAGGAGAACCTTCTTCTCCTTGCCCGAGCCGGGGACACTCGGCAGGGCCGGGGATCGAGGGCGAGCCCACGGACATCGCAGCGCCCGCCCGCGGCTCCTGCAGCCCCGCCGGCATCTCGGCCCCTTTGTGCTGATGTCACGGAGCGGGGCCCCGCTGCCGCCTTCCCGGGAGGGCAGGGACCGGCCGCCCCTTCCCGGATCCTCCCCTCCCGCCTCTCCCGTCCCCGCGCCGGCCGCAGCGGGGCCGGGAGCCGCGGCTGCCCGGCCGGTGAGCGCTCTGCAGGTGAGTGCCGGGGCAGCCCAGACCCGCGGAGCAGTAGCGAGGGGAAACTCCATTTTGAGTTTAGAAACATCTGGCCTCCAAAAAAAAAGAAGCTGGCGAAAGCGCTGGGAGGTTTGTGTGTGCTGAGACACGAGGCCGTGGCCGTGCCCACGATGCTGCCCGCGGCTGGGCACGGCTGGCAGAGGGGGCAGGGGGCTGCAGCCCGCAGCTGGGAGCTCCCCGCTGCTGTTCCAAGGGGAATGGCGCAGGGCTGGCCAGCGCATCGGGGAAAAATGCAGGGATGAGGCTGCCAGGGTTTCCATCCGTGCCTTGGCCGCCGGTGTCGGACGCTGCCGTGGGGATGAGGCGGCTGCGGCTGCTGGGGGATGCAGCAGCCCCGACCTGAGGAGGGGGTTTTGGGGGTCCTGGACAGGCTTAGAGCATGTGGGGACACCGGGACATAATGGTGACACATCCTGGGGGGACATTTCGGGGTGCTCCTGGCCAGGGATGCTCCCTGGGCTGTGCTTGAGGCACCAAGGAATTCCTTCTGGCTGGGGTCTTTTTTAATAAATTTAATTTTCACCAGGACCCCAGGCGTGCGTGCCAGGCCTAGGGGGAGGGACTGCGCTGGAGAGGGGGTGGGAGAGGCAGGGAAGTGGCTCCCAGCAGCTTCGGATGGTGATGAACCGGCGAGTCTGGGCGTGCTCCGGCTCCTCGGGAGCGGGCGGGGACCTGGGCCGGGCTTGGCACGGGGCTTTTCTGTCCCCGCCGTGCCCGGGACACCAGTGCTGGCATGGCACGGGCCTGATGCCAGCACGGTGAGGGCACAGCGACATCCCGGGGTGGCAGCAGGGACAGGACCCCCGGGTGCCATCCCCACAGCCCCGTGTGCCCCTCTCACCCCACAGGGCCTGTCCATGGATGCCAGCAAGAAGGTGGATCTGAAAATCATCATCATCGGAGCTCTGGGGTAAGGAGCTGGCAAAGGAGGGAGCCCCTTGTGTGTGCTGGGTGTCCCTGCCCACCCCAGCCTCACCAGTGCCCCTTTCCCCGTCACAGCGTGGGCAAGACCTCCCTGCTGCACCAGTACGTGCACAAGACGTTCTACGAGGATTACCGCACCACGCTGGGCGCCAGCATCCTCACCAAGGTCCTCGCCGTGGACAGCACCCCCCTGAAGCTGCAGGTGAGCGCGGTGAGCTGGCACTGCCCGCGGTGCCCACCCCCATCCCAGCCCCGTGTGTCCCACCCTGGCCTGCTGTGCCCAAATGCCACCGCGGTCATGAGGTGCAGAGCCCCATTTTCGGAGCTGATTTTCAGAGCTCAATTTTCAGAGCTGATTTTCAGACCTGATTTTCAGAGCAAATTTTCAGAGCAAATTTTCAGACCTGATTTTCAGACCTGATTTTCAGACCTGATTTTCAGAGCTGATTTTCAGAGCCAAATTTTCAGAGCTGATTTTCAGAGCCTGATTTTCAGAGCTCAATTTTCAGAGCTGATTTTCAGACCTGATTTTCAAAGTCTGATTTTCAAGCTGATTTTCAGAGTCCAACTTTCAGAGCCAAATTTCAGAGCCTGATTTTCAGAGCCCAATTTTCAGAGCCTGATTTTCATACCTGATTTTCAGAGCCAAATTTTAGAGCCTGATTTTCAGAGCCTGATTTTCATACCTGATTTTCAGCACTGGAATCCCACAGGAATTCTGGGGGCTCAGCACCCCCTGAAGCTGCTCCTCTGGGCTGCAGCACCCTGATTTTCAGACCTGATTTTCAGAGCAAATTTTCAGAGCCTGATTTTCAGAGCTGATTTTCAGACCTGATTTTCAAAGTCTGATTTTCAAGCTGATTTTCAGAGTCCAACTTTCAGAGCCAAATTTCAGAGCCTGATTTTCAGAGCCTGATTTTCATACCTGATTTTCAGAGCCAAATTTTAGAGCCTGATTTTCAGAGACTGATTTTCAGAGCTGATTTTCAGAGCCTGATTTTCATCTTCCATGAACTGCACTGGAATCCCACAGGAATTCTGGGGGCTCAGCACCCCCTGAAGCTGCTCCTCTGGGCTGCAGCACCCACCCTGCTGCTGTCATGTGCCCTCCTCTGCCCTAGATCTGGGACACAGGGGGACAGGAGCGATTCCGGTCCATGGTGTCGACCTTCTACAAGGGCTCAGACGGCTGCATGCTGGCCTTCGACGTGACAGACAGGGAGTCCTTCGAGGCCCTGGACAACTGGAGAGATGATTTCCTGGAGAAGGTCATTCCCAGGGACCAGGATTTCCCCATGGTGGTGCTTGGGAACAAAATAGACCTCAGTGACCGGCAGGTAAGGCTGGAGGAGGGAGAGCAGGATGAGCAGTGGTGGGGTCACCACCCCTGGAGGGATTCAAAACTCGTACAGATGGCACTTGGGGACATGGTTTAGTGCTGGGTTAATGGCTGGGCTGGATGATCTTAAGGGTCTTTTCCAACCTAAACAATTCCATGATTGTGTGACTGGGATGCTGTAGGGTCCTTCACCTCAGAACCAGCCTTTTCCCTATCCTCACATAAACCAGAGCTGCAGGCAAGGAGCTGCCACCTCCCCCAGCACTCTGGGATGGGCTGAGCAACATCCTCCTGCTGCTTTTTGGGGCACAGCCTGTCCCCACCAGAGGCAGCAGGAATGACAACCTCAGGCACTGCCAGCACCCCCTCACCCAGCAGTGCCTGGAGGGGTGAGGAGGGTCTCCTGTCCCATCCCTGAGCTGTGGCTCACCTCCTGGATGGGTGAGGGGGGTCTCCTGTCCCACCTCTGAGCTGTGGCTCACCTCCTGGATGGGTGAGGGGGGTCCCCTGAGCTGTGGCTCCCCCAGCAGAGCCTGGATGGGTGAGGGGGGTCTCCTGTCCCACCTCTGAGCTGTGGCTCACCTCCTGCATGGGTGAGGGGGGTCCCCTGTCCCATCCCTGAGCTGTGGCTCCCCCAGCAGAGCCTGGATGGGTGAGGGGGGTCTCCTGTCCCATCCCTGAGCTGTGGCTCACCTCCTGGATGGGTGAGGAGGGTCCCCTGTCCCATCCCTGAGCTGTGGCTCACCTCCTGGATGGGTGAGGGGGGTCCCCTGTCCCATCCCTGAGCTGTGGCTCCGTCCTCCCATCCCTCAGGTGCCCAAGGAAACGGCCTCAGCCTGGTGCAAGGAGAAGGACATCCCGTATTTCGAGGTCAGTGCCAAGAACAACATCAACGTGGCCGAGGCTTTCGAGACCCTCGCGAAGCAGGCGCTGAGCACGGTGAGCACCCTCCAGCTCTGAGCTGTGCTGGGGGGGATTTGGGGTAAAACCGGGCTCAGCCGGGGCTGCTCCGACAGATCCTCCCGTGGGGAGCAGCTCCTGCTGCCAGGGACAGCCCCGGGAATGAGAAACGCAGCGCTGCTCGATCCTAAATCGATAGGAGTCGGAATTGCCGTGTGCCTTTCCAGCAGCGATGGGAACCCTCAGCGCGCCAGCACTGTCCTCTAGCGGCCGTGCCTCGGGGACATTGGTGTCCCCAAGCCCTGCGCTAGGTGGCTTTTGCCCGGATTTTTTGCCGGGGACAAAGTCAGGGCTGTCCGCGGGGCCGCCCGGGCTGCGCTCGCTCATCCTCTCCCTTCTCCGGTTCTCTTGCAGTACAAAGGGATTTTTGAGAGTTATTTAACCGACTCCATCAAGCTCACTCCCAGCGACAAGCCCAAGCAGAGCTGCTGCTGACCCCGGGGCCGCTGCCCCCGCCGTGCCCAGGGCTGAGCCGTGCCCGGCTCCGTGCCAGGGCACAGGGTGGGCACTGCTGGGCACCCCAGGGGTGTGCTGCCCTCCCGAGCCTCCCAGTCACTCAGTGTCACGGTGGTGGCCCTGTCCCCCCTCGCTCCGCGGCTGTGGCACCCGAGCGGGCGATGTCCCTGCGGTGACGGTGCCAGGGGTGCGGGCAGGGCTCCCGGTGCCCCTGCAGAGACCTTGGCACCGCGGGGACCTTCCCGGTGCACAGCCTGGTGGCACCGCGGGGACCCTCCCGGTGCACAGCCTGGTGGCACCGCGGGGACCCTCCCGGTGCACAGCCTGGTGGCACCGCGGCTCCCAGGGTGGTCCGGGCTGCCCTGAGGGGACAGCTGGGGCGGGTGGCCTCGGCACAGGAGGTCACTATTCCGTGCCTCAGTTTCCCCTCCCCTCATCCATATCCCCCATCAAACACCTTCCCCCTCCCGCCTCACTGGGGAGGATTCTCAAAAAAGCACTTTGTTTGAGGTACTTGTTTTTTTTTAAAAAAGGAAATTAAATTTTTCATTTTTATTTATATTTATGTGTTGTAAAATGTTCCCCAGGTCCTGCAGCAGAAAGGTGGGGTGGGGGCTCCAGATTTCCCTTCCTGAACCTGTTCAGCTTCTCAGGGCTGGGGGATGCAATTTGGGTCTGGGGTTTGTTTTAATATTATTTTAATTTTTTAAATTTATATATTTATTTATAGATCTATAATATATAGAAAATTATATATTATAAATATAAATAAATTTATAATATATAAAATGTATACATTTTATATATTTTTAAATATTATTTTAATTTTTAATTTATACATTTATTTATACATATAATATATAAATAAATTTATATATTATAAGTATAAATAAATATATAATATATAAAATGTATACATTTGTTTGTATATATTTTTAATATTATTTTTAAATTTTTTAACTATATAAATTTTGGGTCAGGTGCGGAGGAGGTGCGAAGGGGATGTGCAGAGGTGGCGTGGGGACCTGGCCGGGCCGGCTGTCGGCAGAGGGAGCCCGCTGGGAGCAGAGCCCGGCTCCGCTTCCCTTCTGCATCCACCCGGGCACCTTCCAGCAGCCGGGGCTGCCCGGGGGCACGGCCACCCTGTCCCCGCGCCACCCGGGGCTGCGGCACCACTGGGGTGGGTGGACTCGGATTCCCAGGGAGGTCACCAGGGACCTCCTGCCGTCCCCCTCCAGACCCCGCCACGGACTGCAGCGGGGCCACAGAGCCCTGGAGGCTGCCCTGGCACCACCCGGGGACAGCACCCACGGGGGACAGGGCAGGGGCTGGCAGGGGAGCTCAGCAGGGGAGAAACCTGAGCGAGGGCCGGGCACGGGGGCGTGGGGGCTGAGGAGATGGGGCTGGAGATGGAGATGGAGATGGAGATGGGGCTGGGGATGGAGATGGGGATGGAGATGGGGCTGGGGATGGAGATGGGGCTGGAGATGGAGATGGGGATGGAGATGGAGATGGAGCTGGGGATGGAGATGGAGATGGAGATGGAGATGGAGATGGAGATGGAGATGGAGATGGGGATGGAGATGGGGATGGAGATGGGGATGGGGATGGAGATGGAGATGGAGATGGAGATGGGGATGGAGATGGAGATGGAGATGGGGATGGGGATGGGGATGGAGATGGGGCTGGGGATGGAGATGGAGATGGGGCTGGAGCTCGATCTGGGGCTGGGTCCGGAGAGAACGGAGAGTTCCCACCCTCGTCCTTATGCAACGCTCCGCCTGTTTATTTGGGCACCGGGCCGGGGAGAGGATTTGTCCCTTCATACTGGGAGGAGAGGGGCATTAACTATTTCCTTGCCACGTTCTGGACGCCCTTTCCCCACCCTGTGCCTGCCAGGGGCCCCCTCACACCCAGCATCCCCCAGCCCCTCCTGGCCCCGCCGGGGCTGCTGGGACCTGGGGAATGGGCACTGTCCGTGCCAGCAGCGCTGCTGATTCTCATCACAGCCTTCCCCCAGCAGCTCCCAGCGCTGGCAAACAAGAACCTGATCTGTTCTAGCCGTCTGGACAGCCCGGGCTGAGCAGGTCACACAGAGGCACTCAGGGGAGGGGGTGCTCCCCGAGCCGGGCTGGCAGCCCCTGGCACAGCCCAGGGTGCTGTGGGCGCTGGAGCCTGTGAGTGGCAGGAGCTGGAGCCGGGTGGGAGCTGCAGATTTGGCTCAGGGTGCTGCTGGATGCTCTGCCCAGGGCTGGGGTCAGACCTTGAGCTGCAGGCACAGCTCTCTGCAGAGCCCCTGGACAGGCTCTGGGCTCGAGCACTTTGTGCATCCTCCCAGACACGGCAATCAGGACTGTGAGGGATGCTGCAGCCTCAGCAGCTGGCAGGATCTCCAGTGGCACCACCACCGTGTCCAGCACACCTGGCAGATGTGCAGCACCGTGCTGGAGCCAGCTACAGCCCTGCAGCCTTCCTTCTCCCTCCATCCCTCCGGGGCAGGGTGTCCTGCTGGCCAGGCAGCCCTGGCACAGCCGGGAGAGCGGGCAGGGTGGCACGGTGCCAGGCAGGATGCTGGCAGGAGCAGCCAGAGGTGCTAAGCTGGTAACACTATCCTACAGCCGAAACCCGATAAAGGACAGGGGGAGGCTTGCAACACGTGGGATTAACAAGGTCAGCTCGAGATTTTCTCAGGGTGAAAATCAAAGGGGAAAATATTTGCCTTGTGTGACTCAGTGAGTTCCTGAGCAGCCACCTGAGTTCCTGAGCTCACCCCAGCCTGTGGCCGCTGCTCAGGAGCCAAACTGAGCCTTCCTGCTCTCCTGCCCACAGGTTAATAACCAGAGACTTCCCAGCTGCTCTGCTGTCCCTACAGGCTTTCATTCACCCAATGAAATGAGAAAAATCAATAAAATCCCCTCCTGATGCTGGTCACCAAACAGGGACCATCCCAACCCTCTCGCAGAAGATCTGCCCTCAATATTTGAGGAATTAGCACCCCACACACACCTTAAATCCCTGACTCCCAGTTTGCTTCATTGTTCTGAGGGTCAATTACCCCTGAGAGCTCTTCACCACCCCTGATCCCGCCTGCCCTGAAAGCCCAGCCTGTGCTCTGTGCTGCCTGTGGAGCCTGCCCTGCTGAGCCCCGGCTGCTTCCAGGGCTGGCAGCGGGATGGAGAGGGTGGATTTGCATCACAAATGCCCCTGCAGGGCTGGCAGAGAGCGGCTCCTCCGCTGCTCCTTCCCCAGACACAGCCCAGGCACAGGCAGCAGCGCCCAAGGATCACAGAATCGATAATTGAGGGTGGAAAAGCCCTCTGAGATCATCAAGCCCAGCATGAAATGATGTCTCTGAATGTCCACCCACCCCAGCCTGTGGCACCTGCAGCTGTGCGGGATTAAATTCTTTTACTGAAATGTGAGAATTTAAATGAAGACACTGGAAATACCTTAAAAAGCTGCAAAAAGAATCAAAACCCAGCAAGTTTTGCTGTTTGGAAGCAGAAGCCCCATTAACCTGGAGCTGGGACTCAGTGGCTTCAGCCACTTCAAAGCCGACCTGATAAACGCCAGGGGTTCAAAGTTCCAGGTAACCTTTCAAAGGCGTCAGACGTGACAAACAAAGCCAGGGCATCACGCAAAGCCTTATCTGTGCCCGTGGTGCCACCGGGCCGCAGGGCAGTAAACACCTCCGGAGGTGTCAGCACAGCCCGGGGCCACCGCGGCCACTCCTGCTGGCTGTCACCCGCCAGCGACGGGCTCGGGCTGGTGGCCTGGCCTGTGGCACATGGGATTCCTTTCCAAGAACGCTCCTGGTGCTGGGAACCACCTGAAGGATCGGTGTCCCTTTCCCCAGTCTCCCCCCACATCGGGGGTGGCACTGGTGGCGTTGGTGTGGCTGTCCCCCCGGGGTGTGGCTGTCCCCAGAAGAGACACGCTATCAGCCCAGGTTTGAAGCACAGCTGTCCCCTCACCCTCTGCCTCGCTGCCCAGCCAGCCGCAGCAAATGTCGGTGCTCCTCCTCCACCCGCAGCCCGCGGGAGGTGCTGTCCCCGTGTCCCACCCCGGTGACACTCTCTGCGGGCTGTGTGGGGTCACAGGGCTCTGGGGACACGGCAGGGCTGAGCCAGCACGCAGGATTAGGGGCTGTGGCCAGCTCTGACGTGCTGGGGTCAGCAGCCAGCCCCAGCCCCAGGCGGCCTCACCGCAGCTGGGCCAGCAGCAGCATCGGGATTGGGATTGGGATTGGGATTGGGATTGGGATTGGGATTGGGATTGGGATTGGGATTGGGATTGGGATTGGGATCAGAGTCGGGCTCGGAATCAGGATCAGGATCAGGATCAGGGTCAGGGTCAGGGTCGGGGTCAGGATAGGGATCAGGAGCAGGAGCAGGAGCAGGATCAGGATTGAGATCAGGGTCAGGATCAGGGTCAGAGTCAGGATTGGAATCAGGATCAGGATCAAGATCAAGGTCAGGATCAAGGCCAGGATTGAGATCAGGGTCAGGGTCAGGATCAGGATTAGGATTCGGATCAGGATCCGGATCGGGATGAGGATCAGGGTCAGGATCAGGGTCAGATCCGGGTCAGGGTCAGGATCAGGATTGGGATCAGGGTCAGGATCATGATCAGGGTCAGGATCAGGATCAGCCCCAGCCCCAGGCGGCCTCACCGCAGCTGGGCCAGCAGCAGCATCAGGATTGGGATTGGGATTGGGATTGGGAGTGGGATTGGGATTGGGAGTGGGAGTGGGAGTGGGATTGGGATTGGGATTGGGATTGGGATTGGGATTGGGATTGGGATTGGGATTGGGATTGGGATTGGGATTGGGATTGGGATTGGGATTGGGATTGGGATTGGGATTGGGATTGGGATTGGGATTGGGATGGGGATGGGGATTGGGATTGGGACTGGGATTAGGACTGGGATTGGGACTGGGATTGGGATCAGGGTCGGGATCAGGATCAGAATCAGGATCAGGATTGAGATCAGGGTCAAGATCAAGGTCAGGATCAAGGTCAGGGTTGAGATCAGGGTCAGGATTCGGATCAGGGTGAGGATTCGGATTCGGTTCAGGATCAGGATCAGGATCGGGGTCAGGATCAGGATTGGGATCAGGATCCGGATCAGGATGAGGATGAGGATCAGGATCAGGGTCAGGATTGGGATCAGGATCAGGGTCAGGTTCAGGATCAGGATTAGGATTAGGATTCGGATCTGGATCAGGATTGGGATGAGGATCAGGATCAGGGTCAGGATTTGGATCAGGGTCAGGATCAGGACCAGGATCAGGATGTGGTGTGGGCAGGGTGCCC